TTTTTTGATTTTTTTTTTTTTTTTTTTTTTTTTTTTCAAATGTCGACCTGCTTTTGAATGATTATTTTTTTTTTTTCCACACTTCTTTGGAAAACATTGCCTTTTTTTAATAGCAGCTATTTTTTTCCGTGCCGCATGACCCGCTGCTTTACCGCCGTCACATCGCTAACTTATCGCTGCCACTATTTCAATATCATTACCCACTCGTTAGTCTTTTTTTTTCTTGTTTTTTTTCCCTTTTTTTTTTTCTTTTTTCCGGGGGGGCTTTATCTTCATAGCGCAGCTTCATTGAAAAGAAAAAAAAATAATACAAAATAACCGCTTGGTAAAGCAGCAGGGGAGTGAAAAAGGATCAACGAACAATGTATATTTATTAGTTTTTCTTTTTTTACTTCTTCCCCCTCTTTAATGAATCGTTACCCATTCGGCACCACAAACTTATAGCAGCTTTAAAGTGGAGAATAAAAATTCCTCATATCTCCACATGTGGCAACATATATGCAATTCTACATACATTTTTGTACATATAAAATACATGAAGTTTTTTTTTTTTTACTCTTTCCCCGTGCACATCATATAGAGGGTTCATACTGTATGCAGAAATAGAAGCACAATATTCGGTTATCCCTTTATAATGAATATTCTAAAATAAAAAAAAAAAAAAAAATCTGTCACCAACTGTTGGAAGTCGTGTGTAGCAGCATGGACTCCCTTCTGTGGAAGGCCCTACACAAAGAATGAACTCCACCTCGAAGGGGAAAAGAAATTGTCATATAAAGTGTTAACGAGCCACAAAACGGTAACGAGCATACAGTGGGTGTAACCGGGCGTGTGAAGGCAGATCGGCCCTGAAGTAGGCCATGGAAAATTGGTAGAAAAACAGCTACAAGGGGGGGATCAGCGTTAGCGAGGAGCGGACAAGGTGAGCAAATTGGTGTGGACACTCAAATGTGAACAAAGGGCCTGATGGCATTTCCAAGGACAAGCATTCCTTATAAAAGATGTTTTTCCGGGGCAATACGCAAACCTCGCCTGAGCTCACAGAAAAAAAAAAAAAAAAAAAGGCTCCTAAGTAGTACTAGTTGGCACCCCATAAGGTAGCCAAGAAGAACGTCCCCCACCCACCGCGATATCTATCGTGGGGATAGTGTAAACAATTGACGAGACCAAACGGGACGTTATACACAGAACGGTAGGTGAAAAAAAAAAAAAAAAAAAGATGAAGAACAGAAAGGGGTGGCAGCTAAACGAGTGCCAGCCACACGGAAGGGCCAATACGCTCAGGAGCAAGTACCAATTGAGAAGCAAAAAAAACCCAGCAGGAAAAAATGCACAGGATGAAGAATCGGATAGAAGCTCCAACGATTTAACTGACTCCTCCTTGTCCTGCTCATCTGAATATATGACCAGGGAACAAAATGTAAAGGAATTGGAGAGGATTCACCATTTGCAAAACGGTCAGTTGAATCAAGACATAATTAACTGTGAGGGGAATACAGGGATAGACCTCCCTACTAATGAAAAGGATTGTCAACAGAACGGACTCCACTCTGTGAACAAAGCATTCTCGAAGCAAACCCTAGTGTATGACCACTACAAAAAGAAGGACATCCTCTTAAACCTGTGGTGGAAAAACATGATAGACTTATATTCAGACATTTTAATAACCAATGTATACAGCAACGTAAGCAATGTGGATGTGCTAAATATGAATCGCCAGCAGAGGGAAGAGAATTACCAATACTTGAACGAAGGCATTGTCCTTTTTCATAACTCTAGTAGGAGAGAGAATTACAAAATGAGCATACTACGAGTGGTGACAAAGGAAGAAATAAATAAAAAAAATGAAAAAGAAATTTTTTATTCATCATCGCTCAAGGATAACACAATCGACGATGCGTTTAAAAAATATTATAAAAATAAATATAAACATATACCAATTATTAAGAGGTACAACTGTTTGAACCTTCCATACTACTGCACTAATTCGAGCATCCTGTACTGCGGCAGGGATGTGATGAGCAACGAGGTGGAGACCAACTGGGGGGGAGACGCAGGAAACGTTATCATAGCCAGTAAGTCCATACGGGGCAGCATATTTTTGTATGGCATTGGCAAAACCATTGATCGGATTAACAGGATGGAGGATGACGAGGCGGTTGATAGGAGATTGAGTGAAGATGGGGGTGGGACTGTGCCCAGTGAAATGGACCACCCAAGTAAGGCTACTCAAGGGGGAGAATGTGCAGACAATGGGGGTAGCAGCGGTAGTAGTGTAGCAGCGGAGGAGGAGGAGGATGAAGAAGAGGAAGAAGAGGATGAGGGATACAGGCACGATGGCAGGACGGCACAACAGTGCTATTCTGAGCGGAAACATGATAAACGAAAGGCCATCACAAGTCGCTTCAAAAAAAAAGAAACACTTGTTAATAGCAAAAATGGATACTCCAAAAATTGGCATAATTATCACAGTAGGAAAAATAAATCCTGCGAGAGTTATAAACAAAAAATAAAAGAAAGAAAAATCTGTGATGGAGAATTACTCCTCGAATTGGTTGGGCACAACAAAACAGGAAAAGGACTCTTCTTCAAAAATAATTACTTGCTCAGCAATGGAGATGATAAAAATATATTTATATATGACATTAATGGTACCACCATGCAGGGTAGCGAAAATAAATATGCAAACGATCATGTTAATGTGTGTAAGATGAATCCGTACATTTCGATCAAAACGAATGAGCTGTATAGTAATGTGAGGTGGCTGTATGATTCGCTGATCATAGGTTCCACCTACAGTGGGTACTTTTCCCTCTTTGACATCCGCATGAGGAATAGGAGCGTGCGTGGTGGCGGCTACAACGAGGACGCGCTGGGTAATAGCGCGGTCAGCGGCGTTAACTGTCCTGGCGGCGTTAACTGTCCTGGCAGCGTTGGCAATGGCAGCAGCGTCAGTGGCGATGGGACTGGGGGCGGTGCACACGTCCATCGCGACCTCCACCAGAGCAGCAACGTAAATATACACTCCGTACACAAGAAAATCACCAAGTATGAAATTTCAGACATAGACAAATACAACAGCGACGATAATAATTTAATTTGCATGAGTGCATTAAATAACATTTTCATTTTTGACCTACGATTTATTAATAACAATTTGCCTTACAAAATAATACACGACAACTCCTACAATAATTATAGCCTGAATGAATCCTATTTTGACCCATACCAGACTGCTGTACACAATGGAGAGTACAGCAGTACTACCACCAATGTGAATTATTTTTATGACCATTCATACAATAATTATTATAATGAAGATTTTTTCAACTCGGACACATTTATTCATTCTCTTTTCTGGTGCAACATTGAAGGATTTAATTATATCGGGTCGCTAAATAACAAGGGCATTATTAATGTGTTCGATGTGAACAAGAGCAAGCACCACTGCGTTTTTACTTACGGGTGTAAGTACATCAAGTTGTTCAAATTCAATCCATTCAAAATAAATAATTTCGTTTCCGTGGACAAGAACAATATCCTCATCCTGTTCACCCTCCCCGACCAGATATACAAGAGTGACCTGGACTTGTACCTGCAGGACAACCTCCGCGAGGAGTAGGGCCAGCAGCTGGGTGCCTACAACAACGTCGCTACTGCGTGATGCCTACCACGTCAATCTCGCACAGCATTAATGAGCATTGCGGCGGGCCGCTATCAAAAAAAAAAAAAAAGAACACAAGTTTAGGAAGGAAAATGCGTGCAGTTACAAATAATGGGTGATGCTTTCTATGTCGCTCTTGTCTGCAATGAGCGGAGCGATTGGTGTTGTGCCCGACGGGGATGCGACCGCACTGCTTGACAGATCGCTGGGCATATCGCTTGACGCATCGACCGACACATCGTGGAAGGTGCCCAAGTTGCGCATCTGTGCGAGCTCCCCCTGCAGGGTGATGCTCTTCATTTGTTCGCGGCGGCCAGGGTTTTGCCTATCTAGCTCCTCAATCAGTTTCTTCTTCTTCCGCAGCACCTTGGCGGTCCTCCCTCGATACGACTTATATTTGAACACATCCACCTGTGTGTGCTTCACGGCATCTGTAATCATGGAGGGTCTGCGATATATTTTCACATTTTTGGGTGCATATATTTCGAACACCTTAACCCCTCTTCCACTAACAGAGAACCAGCACAAGTCCGATATGACAATATCGTCCACGCTTTCCAAGTCTTTACCAAACACCTTAACTGTATGTTTAACGAAAGGTTTGAGGAGATCAAAATCTGATTTAACATGAGGAGGGTAAAGGAAGGAACATTTTTTCTTCTCCAACAAATCTTCCACTTTTTCACTCCTGCACATGTGAATAGTAACCTTATTGGAAATGTAAAAAGTCACTAAAGCGAATGAACCATATAGTAAATTGATATAACATAAACTGCCTAATATGATAGAGGAATTTTCTTTCAACTTATATGTGAAGGCTTGAATTTTTTTGTTTATACAAATACTGTTTAAGTCGATATCTTTGTACAGAATGGAAGAGTACTGATATTTCGTAGGGATCCCAATAGTGTCAATTATTTTAATATTTTTTTTTAATTGAAAAGTGTTATAATTTAAAGTAGTGTAAGGAATATTCGATGTCGTTACTCCTCCTTTTTTTCTCTTACTATATATATCGCCCAAATGTTTATAATTTATATATTTTAAGAAAGAATTCACAAATGATGACTTGCCTACATTTACACAACCGACTATATAAATGTCTGTTCCTTTTTCTAAATCCACATAATATTTCATTCTTTCTTCTAACATGTTAAGATTGTAAAAATTTAAAGCTGAAATAAATATTAAATCATTTATATGTGCATTTTTTATTTGCCTTACTAAATTTCGAAACCATATTTTTACTATTTCCAAATTTGTAGACTTGGGTAGACAGTCCACTTTATTAACTAGCCATATGATGTTTATGTCTTTATTTTTACAAGCTATGTATAGCTCTGGCAGGATGGTATTTTCAATATTTGTTATATCGATTAGGTATAGAACGAGAGATTTCCTTTTCATTTTTTTTATCAAGTTATTCATAACTTCATTTCTGTCTCCTTGAATATACTTGGCTGTGCTTACCTCCATTTTTTCCACATCCAACTTTTTCATGTCGTTTCTTTTTTTTAGGATATCTTTTTTTTCATAAATGTTTACGCTCCTCTGGTCGATACTGTACGATGGGTCGTAGTAGCACTTTTCATTCGTCGACGCCACTCCTCCATCGTCCACTTCAGTTCGAACTTCTCTCCCCGCTTCATCCGTTATGCTGCTCTGCGTTTTCCTTCCTTCATCAACTTGCGTGCAGAAGCGATCATTTGGGCCATTCCCCTCCCCTCTGCTTCCCCCTTTTTGCGCTCCCTGCCTATGTGCCAACCCCCCTCGTTGATGCTTCCTTCCACGCACAACCTGTTCCAACAATTTGTTCATTTCATTTTTATCACTCGTGGTTTCGTTTGGGTTGTTCATATGGTGCGGGGAATCACCTCCGTAGGGTACACCCTCGTGAAGGTCTCTATTTAGAGAAGCGCCTTCACAAACAGGGGCCATTTCCCTTTCGTTAGAATGTTCCACTGTGGGGTTGGTAGGACATGCAGGGGTACTGCCCATGGATGCATGTTGATCCGGTTCAGTTTGTACGCAGGATGACGTCCCTATTGGGGTGGCCCCCCCTTTACGCCGACGCTTCATCTCCTCCTGCAGCTGCGTCCTGCACTTGATAATATTCTCAATCCTCTTAGTGTCCACCTCACATTGTGCGTTGGTACATTTATAATGTTGTAGCCTGTAGCACCTTTTGCAAAGAATAATTTTCGTCTTGACTCGAAAACTTGGAAAATTATTTACATCGACCTTTACCCCATCAGGAACTGAACTCACTTCCTCCCCCTTCACTTTGGTGTAGAACTTTATTCGCCCATTGCTATACTTTTCGTACACACTAAAGGGTACGAACCCTGATTTTCTTTCATCTGTGGTTTGGAGGAACTCCCCACATCCTATACAGGTTAATTTCCTTAATGGGTTAATGTAAAAGTGGTCCTTTTCAATGGTCAAGGGGGCGTTATTTTGGCTGCTAAATTGTGGGACCCTTATGTGGGGGCGCCTCAAACGGGCAGTAATGTGGTATTTGCTTCTCTGGAGGGCGTTTCTTACAATTACCCCAAGCATTTGCACAGCTGTTCGCGTACATGTGGGGAGGGTGTTGTCGTTCGTCCTCAGTACGTCCACTTATATGTGGGCCATATAGCCACGTGGGTTACTTTGCATACACAGGATTGTGTTACCTGATTTTCATTTTTCTTCCCTATCGCTCTGCACATGATAACGTGGTTGCCAAGAGGTATTTACTCGTGGAGACCTTCCACATAATTCGCGCCACGCTCGGTGGGTGCCTCTTTAACGCATCATAGGATTAAAAGTTTTTTTTTTTTTTTCTTTTTTTCCCTCACACGTGCGGAGCAGTAAATGTTGCTGAGCAACCCATATGTATACCTTTTGCTAATTAGAAAAAAAAAAAATTAATTCCTTAATAGTAGCACTCATTTATATGCATTACTACAATATTTACAATTTTCCTTTGTGAAGAAATACCTTGTTCAAACTGTGCGAAGCAGCAATAAGGATGTCGTTAAAAAGGTGCACCGGTAGGAATAAACCACACGCATGCACTGTCGCACATATGTAGAGGGGAGGGGCAGGGCGTGGTAGTTTCTCCCAATCCAGTGGAAAAAAAAACAGAGGGACAATTCCAAGTACCAACACGTGAACCTTTTCGCAAAATTTTAATTCTGCCTTGTGAGAAGTTTACACCCATCGTTCAAGTGGACGTGTCATTGGCACACCACTCGGATGAGACGAAGTTGTGTAGGGGAGGACGCATGGAAAAAAAAAAAAAAAAAAAAAAAAAGCGTAGAAAAAAGGTGCAAAAAAAAGTGCAAAAAAAAGGTGCAAAAAGGTGATAATAATACACATAATAAATATGCACACATACGCGCAGAACCTATGTTGGCACGGTTTACAATTTCCCGTTTGGCCGAACAGAAGCGTACATTCAGATAAACGCTTTAAAATTTTGGAACAAACAAAATGGGGTGGTAAGATAAAAAATAACTCATAAAATGTTGTGTGCCAGTTTGGCATGAAAATTTTCAAAATGGGCTCAATTGCCCCTACGCGCCATCACGTGGACGTAACGCGTAAGTAACGAAGCAACGCTGGGCTGCTTCTTGACCACATCAGTTCGCTGCCTTGGAGGCAGAAGTGATCATAAGCTCGGAATCGACTTCCAAGTCTGAAATGACACACTGGTAAAAGTCTTCTATCTGCTTAATATGCGCAAGTTGATTTTTGCTTATAAAATTAATGGCCATTCCTTTGGTGCCAAATCTTCCTGTACGTCCAATACGATGAATGTAGGTTTCCATATTTACTTTTCTGTTGTAAAAATGGTTACCATGATTTTCTGAAATTCGTCCTTGAAAAACGTAAGGCAAATCAAAATTTATGACTAAGCTGATGGTGGGTACGTCTATACCCCTGGAGAGTAAATCTGTGCAAATTAAAACCTTGGAGACTCCACTCTTAAAATCAGACATAAGGGTATCCCTAGTTTTAGGGTCCATGCCTAAGACATTTGCCTTTTGTACTTGATTTTTTGTAAATCTACTAATGACACTATCAGCACAAATGAGGGTAACGTTGTGGCCATGATCCGTCATATACTGGTACAAATTATAAGCAGAAACTTTAGAGTTAACAAAAATGACACACTGCGAAATGCTCATGGAACAATACAATTCAGAGAGGTAGTAATATTTTTGTTCTTCATTTTCTGTTAAAAGATAATATTGCTTTACACATTTTAAAGTTAAGTCTTCTTGGCGTACACTTATTTTAGAAGCATCAGGAGCGAATATGTCAGCAAAAGTTCGTACCTGTTCATTATACGTAGCAGAGAAAAGAAGAATTTGACATTGCCTTGGTAAAAATCTTTTAATACTTTCCACTTGGGAAGACATATTATTTTTTATATCAATTAAATCATCAGCTTCGTCCAGAACAAAAATGGAGACACTTTTTGTGTCCACAAATTTTCTTTTTAATAAATCTAATGTTTTTCCTGGAGTACCCACATATATTTGATACCCTTCATTTTTATTATATTTGTCACAGAGGGGTACAGCTAGAAAAACTTTCACAGTTAAATATTTTGTGAATTTTCCAACCACTTCATAATTCTGTTGAGCTAATTCCCTCGTCGGACAAATACACATGGCTTGTAGGATCCCTTGATTTCGGTTAATCTTAGACAACATGGAAATGACAAAGGTCAGTGTTTTTCCTGACCCATTCTGAGCTTGGGCTATTAAATTCCTGTTACTATTTAAAATATAAGGAAGAGCTAGGCCTTGTATTTTAGAAGGTGTAAAAAATTTTAAATATGTTAAAATCTGTATAAGTTCATTATCTATATTTAATTCTTCCCAGGTGTTTCTGGAACGATATAATTTGACATCCTTCACTTCCTCATTGTTATTATTATTTAATGCTTTACTGAAATCGAAGTTACTTAATTTCTTTTCCTTTGCATTGTCTTCATTGTTTATATTCATATTTTCAATCATGGAAATTGCTTCTTCTTCAAGTGGCTTCTTCGTTTCTGCATTTTCTATCACATAATCATCATCATCTTGTACCAATTTATCAAATTTCTTCTTCACTCCGGTGTCGCTTTTTCCAGTGCCTTCTTCCTCCTTCACATTGTTTGCACTAGCACCTGCTGTACTGGTTACCTTGCCAAAGATACTCTGTGTTGTTTCCCCCTTTGCAGAGGACCCATCCTCGTTCTTCTTCCCACTACCAAAGGGCGCACTACTACTACTACTACCAAACCCACTGAATCCGCTAAAGCCAAACTTGTTCACACTGCTGCCATCACTGCGACCTTTATCTTCGCCAAACTGAGCAAAGAAATTCTTTTTTCCATCTCCAAAAATGCTACCCGACGTAGATGATCCTTCCTTTGTCCCACTTCCAAACGTGTTGAAACCGCTTGAAAAGCCAAAAGTAGGAAAAGTGCTTTTCTCAGTTTTATTGCCAAACAGATTTAGCATTTTATTTTCTGCCCCTTTTTCATCCTTCTTTTTGTTATCACCATCAGTTTTGGATGCCTCGTCGTCTTTGTTCTTTCCATTCTTTGCACTTGCTTTGTCGGAGGCGTCTTTTCCGTCCCCTGCCTCTTTCTCGTTCTCTTTGCTGCTGGGCAACTTCATCTGGCTGAGCGCCGCTGCACCGTCTTTTCCCTGCCCGCCCATCATGCTCAGCATGGTTTGCATGATTTTGGGGTCGTCCTTATTCTTCTGCAGATAGCTCAGCAGCATGTTCATGACGTCGTCCCCGCCGGTTGCGGCCTTCGCGTCGTCCTTACTTTTCTCTTTAACCTCGTCTTTACTTTCCTCATTAGCGGCATCTTTACTCTCTGCTTTCACGTCACCTTTACTCTCCGCTTTACCGTCACCCTTAGTTTCCTCCATGACGTCACTTTTATTTTCCGCTTTGACATCATCTTTACTTTCCACCTTTGTGTCTTCTTTCTTTTCTTCCTGATCGCTGGGTGAATCCTTCACCCCCTCGTCGTTATTTGACTGGTCATTCGTTTTTTCATCTTTCCTTTTTTCATCTGTGGCTTTTTCGGCACTGGGTGTTTCCTCCTGTATGCTCATTTTGTCAACTGGTCTGTTTGATTAATACTGCGTGGGGGTCTGCAACAGGGGGAGGAGACTCCTTTCCAGCGTTGGGGCAAAGGGGTTACGCGGTATGCTTTGAGAATTCCTCCTTAAGGAGCTATGGGTTTGGGTTGGCTCTTCCCTTTGGCGCAACCGTACATAGAAATGTGGGCGCTCCAGCTGTTATAACGCCGCGAGACTGGGATTGTATAAATAACTCCCCGCAGCGAAACGCGCAAGCTTGAAGAACCCGGATAAGCGATACCACCACTTTGGTGAACCGTTTTTCTGCTTCGTTAACTTTTAACGTGCGTTTAGGCCTTTTCTTTCAAATAGTTCTGCATCTGGGTGGAGAACATATTTTATATTTGTTACTGTTTGCAGTACAAAATAGAATAACTGTGGGGATAAATACAAAAAGGGGTGCTTTTTTTTTTTTTTTTTTATGGCTTTCGTGGTAGCATATGCCGATTTGCAGCTGTTACGTCGTTTATTTTTGTAACTTCTTTTTTATCTCAGGAATGAGATTCGTTCATGGGTATTTTCGGTGCTAAAATCCCTTTTTTTTTTTTTTTTTTGCCTTACATCTTTCCGGTTCGCATGATGGAATGGATTTACAGAAGGTAAAAAAATAAAACAGCAAAATGGTTTTAATTAAAAAAAAAAAAAAAGAATCAAAAAAAAAAGAGAGAAAAAAGCAATTTTGAAAAGAGGCGACTTCTCATCGAAGTATTCATAAATTGCCGTCCCCAACGATGTAGAGATATGTTCATGAATACGCCGCATATGAACAGCACAAGCGCAGTGCGGCACAGTACACAATGTGAGCGGACGGACGAAAGAACAAACGAATAGGCGGGAAAATAAGGCCGAACGCATGTTTACATTTGCGTTCAATTTCATCGCGTTATATTTTGTGCCTGGGGGGCACACAACCACAGTGTTCTCATGCTAGCCACAGAAACGTTTTTTTTTTTTTTTTCCTTTTTTTAAATAAATAAATCACGACGCAAAGGGTGCAGTAGAACAAATAAGTCTATTCTGTGCACATTTAAAATAAAATACTTGGTCAAATAAAAAAAAAAAAAAAAAAAATGACATACCGACATGTGTTAAAAAATAATGCGCAAAGCAGTATTAACAACGCAAGAGAACGAGAACGCGCAGATTGAATTTTACTTTTACAACGCTGCGATATTTTGCTGTTTTTCTCTATGCGTTAGTGTAGCTTTATAATTTGAAAAAAAAGAAAAAAAAAATGTCGGATTTAAAAAGATGAGTGAAGCGGAAGAAGCTTGCCTATTCCCCGGAGTGATTCAGACATATATATGTGCCCTTTCCCCAAGAGGGACTTATGCATACCAATAATACGAGTCCGTAGGTAGGCAGCTTCTTCGCTCCTGATAATAGGGGTGATGGGAAGGCTCCATACACCCACTGCATATATGTACACGTACTCACGGAGAATGCTTCTGCTTACCAACTGCACAGCTACCCACCGAACACCGTCTTGTAGAACTGGTTCAAATTGATGCGGCTCAACAAGGCACCCACTACTTTATGCTGCTCCTTGGAGCATTTCCAAAAGTTAAACAAATTGTAAAAGGAGAGAAGTAGGCATAGGGAGCAAAGCAAAAACCAGCAAAACTGAAACGACATTAACGTTTGTAAGGTTTGACTCAGCCACATCAAACAGTTTGCATACAGTGCATACCAAAAAACCTTCTTGTCTGTACTATTCAGCAGATTTTCATCTGAAGACTTGAAAATTATTTTGTTCGAGTAGTCTTCATTGGCGTCGATCCACCATATCATCTTCACCAGGAACCTTAAAAAAAAAAAAAATGAACCTTATTACATGCGCACATTTGTGTAAGGTGTACACCTGCAGGAAGGTATAGTGCCGCGGGGTGGGGGAACAAGGTTCCTTCCCTATCATATTAACCCCCCTTCTTTCATGCCCTTTTTTGTTACTCACCTGCCGGTAATATTTTTAACCAAATAAAAATCCAGCGAAACTAAAAATAGGGTACCTGCAAACGTCACGATAAAATCAGGTTCATTCGATTTTTCACTTTGAAATAGGTACGGGCCTATGAAGTATCTGCAAGGTGGGGGGAAAAATCAACATGGAAAAAAAAAAAAAAAAAAAAAAAGCAATTATTTTAATTTATTTTAAAAAAAGGGTAACCCATTTGGTAAAATGAAATGAACAATTTAAACTCGCTGGGGGTCGTAAATGTTGTAGAGAATGTATTTTGAAAAAGTAAACACGCACATGTCTGCCTCACTACATGGGCATATATGTATGAATGCCCCATCATGCGTACAAAGAGCCATGCATTTATTACATCGACACGGCCAGGAACTTAAAAAAAACGTGGGCGAAACAAATGTACGGATGCTTGGTTTTGTTGAGCAAACTCTTAAAATAATTGGTCAGGTCGTTTGTATCAAATGGTGCATGGTTATTTCCACTGAAGGAGTTGTTAATGTTCATTGGGTTTCCTAAGCCTGTTGAGAACTGTGCACTGCCCGAAACATTTTTGGCGCTAGCAAAAGGGGGTCTGTCCATTTTTTTTCTTTAGGGGATAACGTGTGTGTGGGGTGGTGGTGGCCGGGAGTTGGGATGGCTCATGCAAAAATGACTGCTCACGCGGTGTCGCTTCTGCATGAGCATGTGAAAGAAGCAACGTGTAACAAGTGTGTTGTGCAGACGTGGATCCGTGCATCTATACATATATCAGCAGTATAGAGACGCAGAATATGACCGGAAATAAATGGATGTCTCCCCTCTTCATTATCCTAACACAAATGGAGCACTTGAACATCAGTCAATATGTTAAGCAAAGTTAACATTTCATTTTTGCCTGTACCCTCAACAACGTGATAACCTTTTAAGGGGATGCCCCTTGTTGGTAGCTCTCCGACTTGTTATGTTATGCCTCAAATCGGCAACGTGATTTCTACCCAGTGTTTATGCTACACTTGGCTTCCGCTGCCTTGACAAAGGGGGCATTATTTTTTGTAAAGGGGGGGCAAAAATTGGATGGTAAATGATGAAGACTGATTCCCGTTTAATGGTTTCTGTGATACAGTCTTCTACGCAAATGTGCTTCCTCAAATAAGAGATAAAAACAGAGGGACCAAGGAGGGAGAAATGGAACATGTACTAAAAATATTCATATTTGTTCATACGCGTGTTTTCCATTTCGTCCGGTTGACACACCTTCCAAGGGATGTGTCCTCCCGCAGTCCGCTCACATGGACGTACTTTCCCCTTTTACAAAAAAGGCAGCGAGGTTATTATGACAGGGTCTCTCTTTTTTTTTTTTTTTTAATTTCTTGTAAGTGTGAAGTGGTTGCCCCATGAGTGAGTTGCGGATACGTGGCAACAATTTTAAAAAAAAAAAAAAAAAAAAGCAATTATGGACGATGCGAATTTGTGCATGCACCTGGAAATACACCAAAGCCGTGACGGGGAACGAATTTCCAAACATGTGCTCCTCAAGGGGCGTTTAAAAAAGGAACGCCCACGTGAATTGCTGAAAATGGGGGTAGCCGAACCGAGCCGCACAACGCAGCGATGAAGCGGAAAAGCGGCAGAAATTAAAGGACGACGTGCACAAAAGAGGAAACTTGCCCCCACCAAACCGTGTTAAATAATTCTTTTACATCGCCGGCACAGCGGCATGATTTAGGCCCACCTACCCTTTTTTTAAACTAGCCTAAACAGAATTCGCGCCAAGTGCCAATGCAGAAAAAAGCCTCATCTGCTCTGCGACAGGGAACAATTTTTCTTGCCTCTGCCCTCAGGCATGCATCCCATTATATTACCCCACTGTAGATTTAACAAATATACATCCCGCTTTGCATAACTAAGGGGTACGAAACAAGGCACCACATAAGGCTGCCACAAATATCATGGCAACGTGGCGAACGAAAATAAATTGCAGAATTGAACTGAGATTGCGCAGTTGAGAAGGGTGAACCCCCACCCACCCCCTATAAACGAGTGACACAAAAGTAGCAACCCTTCTTTAATAACAATACAACACAGAAAAAAAAAAAAAAAAAAAAAAATGAACGAAGACCTGAAGGAATTGAGCAATTACAAATATGAAGAAGAGTCTGATGATAATTCGAAGACCTCCAACTCGGAGGATGATGAAGAAATTGAAGAAGAAATTGATATTTATTTGAATAATATTAACGAGAGCAATTTAAATAATATTAACACATACCTGATCCAGTACCCACTGAGGCCAAAGTACAGACCGTATAAATACACAAACAATATGCAAAAAATATATACTTGCAAAAACTATAGTAAATTAAAACATATAAAAAGTAAAGGCAACACAAATGAAGAGGAGACATACGTTTTCGAATACAAACTTCACGAGTACATGAAGGAGGAAGAGTCTCATGACTCGACTACCATATATAGGGACACAGAAAATGACAGAAATGTAAGCAGACTCATCAGCACAAGTGTTCTGTGTGAATATATAACAAATTGCGTTTGCTTATTTCAATACAATGAAATTAAAAAGAAGAAAGAAATTTATATGGTCCCTTTAAAACATATTTACCAGTTTAAGCCATGGCATGATAATATCAAATTGGATGTAGACATGGAAGGGAAAAGCAAACCCAGTGAACCTGTCCATGCGAACAATATAAAAGAAAATTCTGAACCAGGGGAGAGTAAGTACCCAAATGAAAACAACCATCCGGTTACTGCGGAACATCAATGGACAAGCATTGTAAATATTTATGAACCGGATTCTCTGGAGGCTCAAGAAATGTTGGAACTCTTCACCAATGTTAGTAACAAAAATGATATTCTTAGTTGTAGGGGTTATGCGGGGAGTAGTAATAACCCTGGGGAAGGAAGGAGCATCGGCAATGTGACCAGGTCAAGAGAAAAAGAGGATAGGGAAGCCCTCCAAATAATGTTCAACAACGATGGACAGCTGTACCTAAATCATATGTGCAAAAACGCCAAGGAGGAACACACGAGCCATTTGCCATCAGATGGAAATGTAAAAGATAGAAAGTCAAAGGACAGCAGTAGACACCACAATAGCAGCCTGTACAGAAATGAAGAAGATGTGTGCACCAATTTGAACATGCTTTATTTCTTTTCGCTAAACCTGGATGAACAAATTTTAAAAATAATGAGATTGAAAAATGTACAGAGGTTTTGCGAAATTCAAAAAATTATTAAAAAAAATATCGACCAGGATATTTTGCTAAACACGGTCCAAAAATATTGTGTCAACGTGCTAGGGTTGTGGATCATCAAATCGAAATATTTATATAAATTTTTAAAAGGAAAGGAACCCAAAAGTGAGAGTGAGAAAAAGACAAATAATTTGGAAAATTTCTCCTACATGGATTACAAAATAAGAGTTCGCGATTTATTACTGGTGATTATATTCAAGCAGGTAGAGGCCATTTTATTGAACCATGTGTATAACATCAGGATTGGCAAAAAGGGTACTAACGATTCAAGGAAAAGAGGACAGGACGATAAGCGTAGCGATGGGGATAGTAATAGTAACATTAGCAGAAACGCAGACGCTGATGTGGACTCCAAAAAAATAAACTCTTCTACGTCCATCCTGATGGAAAATTTCGAAAAGGCCACCAACCTACCCAACAATGTACTCTCAGAGATGTTCCTACCTCTATGCGAATATAAATATACAGGGTATTTTTTCAAGCATAAAATGGATGAAGAATTTGTAAATAATCATACCCAGTTGTGTCTATCCATTAATGAAAAATGGAAAAAAAAAATGGTCAAAATTGCGAAAATTATTCAAACTTATAAAAATAGTAAAATTATAATTAATGATTACAAATTGGATATTAGGACATTGGAAAAAAATATCACAGATGTGCTACACAATAATTGTATACCATTTGATGATATATATAATAAAATAAGAAAAGACGCAAAAAATGCAAATATTGATTTACCTTTCTTTATGAAAGCTCTAAATAATATCGCCCTTCAAATTAACAATATGTGGTTTTTGCGAATAGAAAATCAGAGTGAGTTCAACAAATGCAGAAATGCTGTTATTAATATTTTTCAAACGAACCATAATTCTGTTTTCACAAAAAATGAAATCGTCAAGCATGTGGAAATGGTTATTCAGTCCACCTTAACCATTCCTGATATTTATTTTAGGAACATCTTAAAAGAGTTCTGCGTTCAGAGGAATGGCGTGTATTTATTTAAGGGCAACGATCAGCTCCGCGAGGGGGATGCGGCTCGTGGGGGATAAGTGGGGTGAGCTCTATACACCTTTTTGTTTTGCGTTTCCTGTCGCAGCAAATCCCAAGTGCGTGTGGCGAATTGTATAGAAAAATACACGGCCACATGTATAGAAAAATACGCGGCCAAATGTATTGAAAAATACGCAGAGAAATGCGTGGCAGCTTCCTTTTTTTTTAGTAAACACAGCACGTGTAATTTTGTTTGGACGTTGTCCGTTTTTACTTTTTTTTTTTTTTTTTTCCCACAATCGAATGGCCACGTGTCCACGATGTGCTGTGATATGGCTTCATCGTGTGTCTATCGATCAAGTGAGCAGGTAACGTACGCACGCACCGGGTTAACCGAACTGTTGTGTGTGCCTGGTGCATATGTGCAATGCAGTTCTACGCGCGTACTGTATGGTCCATTTTGAAAACCTTACATTATTATAAAAAGAAATATATTTACACACTTTTTTTAATTTTGCGGTATGACTATTTTTTTTTTTTTTTTTTTTTTTTTTTTTTCTCCTCACAAAATCATACACCCTTGTACTTTTTTTTTTGGGAATAAAAGTAATCACCCGCGAGAGAAATTTTTTTTTTTCCTTGCGTGTCACCGCACGAGAATATACAAAACGTTTTGACGTCATGAAGCACACGAATGCGCTTTATACGTTGGCATAGGTCCATTTTTCTCCCTTCGAATGTATGTGTGGGTAAATGTGTTCAACTGTATGTATTTACATTTATCCAATTTAAGGCTTTTCAGGATCCATGAGTTATTTGTACTGAGCAGAGGTTTTTCCACGTGAAATTCCCGCCCCGTTTTTTCTCACCCTTTGAATGCACGTCTAGCATCATTGGTATTTGCGGCAAAATATACCACATAAGCATATGCGCAGGTAGAGTGAATATATTTGTCTAGGAACCCCCCCCCTATGAGTGGGCATTGTATGTGTGTGCATTGGGTGAATTTTCCCAGGCACTACTTTGCCGCTTCTTACCTGTTCTTACCTCTTCCTACTTGTTCACACCGCAGACACAATGCTAACGACGTTTAACATAATTTGGAAAAAGGAGGAGAGCGAAAGCGTTAAGAATGAAAGGGGGTGCAAAATTTTGAGCGAGGCGTCCACAGGGAACCCACAGAGTGACATCCCATCGCCCACCTCAGAATTTGACCAACTGGTGCACGACGTGGAGGACCTGTTATTAGAACAGCAAATTAAAGAAACGGAAAAATTATACAAAGAATCGAAATGTCCAAATGAAAAGTTTAACAAAAAAAATAAATTAAGTATTACAGATTTATCAGCCCAGCTGTGGTGCGAACAACAATTGGAGTTAGTTTTAACAACAGGGAAAAAAAGAGAAACAGAAGCAATGCGATTAGGTATAGAAAGACATGAAGTGTTAGAGAAAGCAGATCATCTGATAATTGATGTGGAAGTGGATACGAAAGAAGAGTCTTTAGGATACCGTCTACTGAACACCATTATCTTATTGGAACAATTATATGAAATGAAGAAGGCAAGAGAAGTGTGGGTTTTTGGGGTCATTAGAGGATACGTATTAAGAGGTATAATTGACGAGCTAAGAATTGAATATGATAATGTTACCAGGAGGGAATATTTGATAATATCTGATACAAAAACCAGGAAGGAAAAAAGGGAGCCAAGTCTTGCTCAGAAGAGGACGTCCGCTATACAAGTACAAACATATTGCCTACTGCTACAACATTTAAGGCATGGAAGAGCTGACTTTAAAAAGATGTTTGAAATATACGAATGCGATCCTAAGTTTGAATTTACCGCTAGTGATTTGGTAAAATATAAAAATTTAGAAAATTTAGCCAAAGTAGTAAATTGTCTTTTTCTCAGACTTCCAAAAATTAAAGAAGAAATGGAAATTGTGTACGAGCATGAAGGGGTTGAGTTTGCTAGAAATAGCATCCCTTATTTTTACCACTCCACTTTGTATACTGTGAACTTTTTGTTGGACTACTGGGACGGCAAGCGGTGTAGCGACGTGGTGGATAACTCCGACAAGTGGAAGTGCAAGTTTTGTGACTTCGTCAAGAATTGCGTCAGGTGCCCCCTGGATGCCTAACTGGTTGGCCTTGAGAAAGCAAGCGATGAGCGCTACGCGCGCCTGACACCGTGTTGGCCTTTTATTTATGGCACACCTCTCGTTAACCTATCCCTGTGTTCCCGCGAACAAGTTCTTATGCCACTTCTGCGCCCATTTCTGCGTCCACTTCTGTACTCAACAGAATTCCATTTTTGGCCAAGCGCACGCCCGACACAAACCTCTCAAATTGCAGTGCACTTTCAACCATTACCGTGTTTTTGTTTCACCATTTACGAAAAAAAACTTTTTAATTTAACAAAATTCTTTTTGTAATGTTTAAAAAAAAAAATACTAAAAAACAAAAAAAAAGGGGGGGTATATCAGACAAACGCAAGATAAGCGATGCAAACTTGGGCAGGGGGGCACTTCCCCACAGACAAAAAAAAAATTACAGATAAAGCAAAAAAAAAAAAAAAAAGGGAGCAACTAAAACAGACGTGAATGGCTTCTGGCGCCACGCTAAAAGTGCTTCCTCCGTTGTAGCTGCCCTGCCTTAGGAGTCGGCCTTTTCTTTGCACAAAGACGACTTCCCCCCGTGTGCTTCATCTCAGAAGTGCCAAATTTACAAATACGATGATACGCCTTGAAAAACTGCCTCACAGCAGAGACAACAATTTTCTTAAAAAGGTGATCATCCAACTTGGTTAAGAAGTAGTATGGGAAAATAAAATAGTGTACATAATTTTTAAAACACTGATGGTGAAAATAAGTGAAGTCTGTGTGCAAATAATTTTTGGACGGGAAATACATATGAGTAAAATTGTCCTTTTTCTCATTATCGTCATTTATATAGCAATTTGTCATGTCTGTGAAAATATGTTTATCCATTTTTTTACCTTTGTACATATTTTCGAAGAGCGAATTGGTCACTTGTTGCGTGACATTTTCGAAATAATTCACAAAATCGTCAATTTCGTCATTTGCATATTCATGGTTAATATCAAATTGGGAAACATTATTAACGTTAACGCTGTTCCTGTTTTGATTTTCCTTCTGTATGTCATGGAGAATGCTAACAGTTTCATATGGAATACAAAAACTTTTAAATAAATTATTGTAATGCTGAATATGGTCATCTTTTTTTTTTTTTTTTTTCTTGTTCATATTTTTCATTTGGCTATTATATTTTAAAGCTGACTCGATGATTGTTCTTTTCAATACACAATTTTCACCAATTATTTTTTTTATATTTTCGAGCAGCTCATTCATATGTACTGAGCTGTAAACCGTTTTGTTCTTTTCCTCCACGTGACCATCATTTGGAGTAGTAGTACCATTTTTTTCTTCCTCCAATTGGCTCACTGCATTACCCAAATGTGCGTCTTCTCCATTTTGCATTTTTTGGAAAAAAATTTCTGCTTCCCTAATTCCGTTGTCCAATATGTCGTAACTTGGATCGTTATAAATGCACCTATCGCTCAGTTTGTCAATTCTGTTAGCACTGAAAGAAAAGGTGTACGTGTGCGCTTCGTCCCTGTCGTCCTCATCCTCGAGCAGGTTATTCAAGTCCACGGCCACAGCATCCGTGTAGTAAAAGTCATTGTATTCATATGAATAATCAAATAGAAGTTTTTCTCTACACAGAAAACACTCATTTGGTTGATAATTATTCGTATCGAATATGGGCATGTTCTGTGTAAAATTATTTTGTATATAATTATATAGTTTCTCTTCTATGTCGTCAAAATTAACTTGGTTGCTCAAGTGATGGGTCATTTCAAAATAATTACTTCTCAGGTAGAAGAGAAAAATTTCCTTGAAGGCGCTCGTTTGTGCAAAGTACTTTTCATCGAAGATGTGCAGGAACGAGCGCATTATCATCTGCTCCTCGTTATTCTGCTGTTGTTCAAGCGGTTCGTTACGTTCGCGATAGGAGCACACGGCGACATGGTCCATAGAGTAGTCTGTGCTTCCCAATCCCCTAAGATGCCCTCCCTCCATGGCGTCTTTGGAAAGGTGCATTTTATTACTGAGTCCATCTATTCGGTTGGAGTTTCCCTCCGCGGGTTGTTCTCCCCACTCGTCACTAACCTTCACATTCACGTCCTGAGGTAGTTGTGCACAATTGACCGCCTCCATTTGGAACTCTCCCGCACGAGCCACGTAACCCCCCTCGTGGTATTCACTCCGGTTGGAGACTTCCCCGCGCTTGCCGTCACGACCGCCCATCTTTGAGAGGGAAAAAAAAACGTTCATGGGAACCAGCTGCTTGCTCACATAAAACTCCCCACTTGTGCACAAATTCCAGACGTTACTCTGCACAGCTAGTTTGTTTCCAAGCGAAGCATCTTCCGCGGCTGACTTGTTCATAAAAAGATTGCCCATCCCTTTGGCGCCTGCAAGATTCGCAAATGAGTTACTGCTAGTGACTTCCTGCCCATACATTTCCCTAAGAGGTCTAACTAAAAAATTTTGTATGCTCCTTCGAGGGATCCAGGAGGGAAAAACATAACTCTTAATATCCTTTATCTCTAAGCACTTCAAAATATTTTTAAACATGATTTCTCCATCTATGTAGTTTATATGCACATTGTTATCTTCAGTCACGGTGTAATAATTGGACAGGTTAACATCATATGTGTTTTGGTTTCCATATATAAAATCAAAAAAGTTCATTTCCCCTTCGTTGTCCTCGTCATTACTACCGCTTTTGTTCTTGTTCCTCTTGTCGTTGTTGTCATTATCTGAGGAAGAATCATTATCATCATTTTCTACATTATGCAAATTTTTTTTTTTTTTCTCATTTGTTCTATTCTGCGTTTCGTTATTTCGCCCTGCCCAAAAGAAGTTATCCATTTCGTTGGACTTTTTTCCAAAATGGAACACGTCCTGTACAGTTTTGTCGAAACACGCGTCTTCTGCTGCCTTCACTTTCTGCCCCTCATAAGCAGATATATAAAAAGCGAGCGTTTCAGGGCGTTTTTCTCTTTTACTTTGAGGAACGTTGTTTGCGTTCTTCGTATGTGCCACCGAGTTGGGATCCACACCATAGGCATTTTCTACATCACCAGGTTCCTCCCCATCTGTCCAACCGATCGTACAAGATGCAAAATTGGCCTCATGATTGTCCCTCTTGGCATTCTTCAAAAGGGCCGAATCATCCACACCCTCGTAATTCCTCTCCACATGGATGGTCTTCCGGTCCGCCTCCCACTTGGCATTATAATTAAAGGAGTTACAATTTTTCGTAACTATATTTTCATACACATCTTCAAAAATGGAGTACTCTTTACATATAAAAAATTCAATAGATATACTCATATGATCTAAATAAATAATTTTTTTTCTGTTCCTATTGGCACCTGGTTTTTCTGTGCCAGTATTTGTGTAGTATTTACTTTTTTCGTAATGATTTTCCAAATGGTTTAGCTTCTCTAAGCTGGAGCTGAATCGTAATCCGCACGTAAAACATTGAAAAGCCTTTTCTTTAAAGTAGCTTCTAAAAATTTCTTTTAGTGAATGTGCATTCACTTGAAATTCGTCAATGTTTGCTAACACCTCTAAATTTTTTTCTTCTTTTTCATTTTCCCTTTGTTCATTTTGCAACTGAGTGACTAAGGACACTAGAAGCAGAATGTCATATGAAGACAAGTCATCGATGTACAGTACTTGGTTCGATACGCTATTAAGTATTCTTTTTCCAAAAGAAGGGATTCTATTCCTTCCTAAAGGGGGACCTCCGAAATTTTCCTCATCTCCACTGTGGTAATTATCAATTCTATTATCGCCGTTAACGGTGTGAACATTTTCCCCCCTACCTCTTCTCCAGTCTACATTCTTCTCCTCCACACCCATTTCATGTACCTCCATTTCACCCACCCCCTTCTTCTTTATGAGCGCATCGTTGCTGCCACTCACTCCACTCTTGGCAAAACTGTATAGCCCACTACTGCACCTCTCCGCTGAACTCTCAAAACAAATATTCCTGTCGATAATATCATTACATTGTATGGTGCAAAATTTTCTGTTCACGTGCAAAATGTCATGTTCGTTGGTTAAATGATCACTGAAGAGGAAGTTATAAATACTTCTTAACTCCTTTACATGGTTGATGTACTTGTCCATGTCCTTAAAGTGGTCTATGCAGACGTCATTTTCACTTAACCTTTGCTTCTTCAGTGATTCGAAATTATCAAAGAGCGATACTTTGGCTCGTTTGTTCACATGACCAAAGTTGTCCCTACTGGCGTACTCGTCCTCCAGCATGTTCCTCTTATGCGCGACGAAGAAGTTACTATACGGGATGTTGTTTATGCTGTTCTTGGTGGCGAACTTGTTTAATATTTCCTCGTCCATTTTGTACAACGTGGGGGGAGGGGTAACAAGTGGGGTAAGCAGAGGAGAGGGTGACAGACGGACGGGAATTTCTACGCACGCCTGGTACGCGGCCACCCTGTTCGGGTAAATAATTCTGTTGCGGTTTTTTCTTTTGCCCCTTGTGCTCCACGATCCGGCGTATGATTTAATCCCCTACTAATATATATATCCCCCTCGGCCTATATAACACAGGCAACAAGGCAAATGTTCCCCTTGAAAATTGTGCCTCACCCATTTGAGCACAAATGCGGAAAAATGCGGCTATCTACGTGCGCGCAGTTTGAAAAGGATTATTGGGAAGGACCTCCTCGGCAGCATATAAGTTCACGCAATGTTATGTTTTATAATAATGTACACCTGCGACATAAGGGTACATTATGCTAGCCAAAAAAAGAGAGAGATCCTAAAAAAAAAAAAAAACGTCATTTCGTTTTAGATCTTCTGCCTAGCCCCTTTTGTCACATGTCATAATTGCAAAATGGGGAGATAACCAAAAAAAGGATCCTGTTCAAAATGGCGAGGATAAGGTTAAGCTGTACATTAATCGCTCAAGTTGAAGTTTTCCTTTTAAAAAAAAATGTTGAAACATGTATGCACTTGAAAAAATATTCCCGTTTTCTTTTCTTTTTTTTTACGATCATTTTGTTGCAAAATTAACGACAGTTTTGTACATTTTTGTATGTGCAAAAAAAAACAGCGACTCCCAAAAAAATTAAAAAAGTTTAAGAATTTGACAAACGGAGTTAAACAGCAACGTTTAAAAAAAGGGAGAGAATCGAATTGGGCATTTAAAAAAAAGGAGGCAAACCAGTTTATTAACTTCAAAAAAAAAAAAAATTAACATAATAAGTAACATATTGATGTGGGTCAAAATGATCGCCACAAAACCGCTACAGCTGCAGGAAGACGTGTGCGCGGAAAACCCCACATCGACAAATAACTCGAGGTGACGTTTTTCCCGTTGGGCTGCCCCCAAAGGAACGGATCCGTGTGCACACGAAATCGCTGCGTTGAGACAAAACAAATTTGTGTTGTCACAGTTGACAAGGGATTCCAAATGGTGAGCGCGATGAAGATAGAGAAAAACATAAGGCGTGGCGGAGGCCGTGGTGGAGAAAAGAATTTACGTCCATTTCATTCCCCATGGACGGGAAGGTGCTAACTGAGCTTTTTGATTGTACCTGAGGGGGAATGGAAAGAGAGGATTGGACACATATTTATCGCCTCGAAGCTTCCCACCTTGTTCGTTTCTGTTCAGTCTGCTCCTTCTTGAGAGCATTTATAACTCCCTACAATACACCTCCATTGACACAGTAAAGTTATGCTCTACCGTAAATGACCCCATTTTGTTGTACTCTTCAGGGGGGGCGCCCATTTGTTTTCTATAAATTTCCCCTCCCCATCAAGTACCGTTGCGCAGGATGGCATATTCCTCCTTGTTAGGTAGAATCTCCTTCCTTCGCCCATCGCAAAATAAAATTTGCGTGTGCCCATCGGTATATTTGCAGTCTATTTGGCCATTTGGAAACCTAGCAAAAAAAAAAAAAAAAAAAAAAAAAAAAAAGACATCATTGTGCTGATTCGGAAATTTGTCAAAGAGTGCACTTTAAATGCAGGTAAATAAATATGGCCAGTTTTCTTACTTATTCAGTTGGCATTTATTAGGTATGTTCACTTGGTATATGCCTTTGTTTACAAAGCGGAATAGCTAAGGAGGAAAGGGGAGATGTGGGGTAATTTTTTAAACTTCTGAACGGTTGTACGAATTGGGGAACTCTGTATTACATCCGCCTCATCCACGTGGGGAAAACCTCAATGATCGCTTGTCCTCGCGCGTGAAAACTGATCCTTCCTTACCGTGTACGAATTTGGCAACTGTGCACGGTAATCCTTACTGGGGTAGAGATAAATAGTTAAATTGTTGGGGTCCACAATTTTCTTATTTCTGTTTTTCTCAATAATTCGTAGGCCGTCTTCAAATAATGTCTCCACCTTCCCATCAACAAATGCTTGTTTATATTTCATCTTCTTGGTTGACGAGAATATCGATTCAATCACATTTTCGCAACTGTTAAATAGTTCGTCAAAATTGAAATTTATTATAAAGTCCCAGTTTTTGCCAAAAGGGTTTAAATGGTCGATGCTGGGTGGAGATATCTTCGAGCGGGTTCTCGACTCTAGGGTATTTTTTCCAAACTGATTGTCGTCTTTTCCGCTTCTTCCGACGTTGTTATTCCTTTTCAGTTCACCACTGCGTGTGTTTAATGCGGATGGTCCGTCCCCCCCATAACGCTTAAACGGTGTATTATTCATCGTGCGCACGTTGCTACTTGTACCATTTTTTGATGTCCTGGCTGGGTTATCACCCTTCGTATGGATCCCAAACTCGTTCGTCAACCTGCGAGAAGTGATGTTATATAGAAAAAGATTGCTGTCTGGTTTACTTATCACGGGAAGAGGATACTTTATGGGGGCTAGGTGTATCCTCCCTCATAATTAACCCTTGAGAGCTTTTTGTCGAGGTCCCTATGGAAGGGGAGGACATACCTTTCCGCTGATTCGCCCATGGGTGTATCCACATGGACATTTCCTAGTGGGACCCTTACATCTCTTTCCTTTTCATCTCTCCCATTTTGGTTATCCTGCTTGGTGTAGTTGGCTAGAAAGGAGGTCTTCCTCATCTGTTCGTGGGGGTCCCTTTTTTCTTCCTCCTCATTTGTAAAGCCACTATTGTAAGATAATTTGTCATTTATTTTGCTGGAGTGGTCAAAAAAATACTTTCTAAAAATTTTATTATGTTCATTCGTAGTATGGCTACTGGTGTCTTCCTCGTTGTATACCTTGTCCATATTTTCGGCATTTCTATTTTTCTCTATTAGCAATTTCATTTTTTTTAAATTTTTATCTATAGACTCATCATCCTTTGCGGCGCCGTGTCCAATCTTCATGTCATTTTTGTGTACAAATAAATTGTTAAGTGTAATTTTTTTTTTCCCTTTTACTTCTTTCGATGGCACTACACAGGGGTCGCTTTCGCGTAGTGCATTTGTACAGAGTGTTTTATCATCGCTAATGGTGGGTTGATATAACGAATCCGATTCACTTCCCCGCCGTCCACTTTCCCCCTGTGGCTTGCTCTTCACCGGGGTGAAATTTTCTGAGCAGTCGGAAAAATGAGGCAAACTTTTCGCATCGGCATTTTTTACCATTTTCTCCTGAACCACATTTGTTGCTAACTTCATAATAGTTTTCTGCTGGTAATTTTCTAGCTTGCTTCTATACTCGTCTGAAATTTTTAACTCTGTTTTGAGCTTTTCATTTTCAATTTTTAAACTTTCTACCTGTTTTCTCAATTTCTCCACAGTTATTTTGTGCTGTCTCTTTTCCGTTGTGAGCTTTTCTTCTAATTCTTTAATTTTATTTTTGAACATTGCTACTTCGTTGGTTAGTTTTCTTTTGCTCATTATGATGTTCCTCTGTTTGTCTACTTCACTTTCTATTCTTTTTTTTTCCTTGTTCCACTTTTTTTTTTCCTCTTCCAAATTTTTTATCATCTTTTTCTTTTCCTCCTCAATTTTGTTTTTCATTTCTTCTCTCTCAAGTTCCATTTCTGCACTTTTCGCAATTAGCTCATATTCTAATTTCTTAACTTTATCCTGTTCCCTTTCTAGTTTGTTTATTTGATTGTTGAGTTCCTTTCCCAGCTCCTTCAGTTGGTCACTGTTGCTTTGTTCGTTAAGCTCCTCATGATTAAGCGGCACGTCTTTTTTTCTATCACCTTTATCGTTTGAGCGGCGCCTTCTTCGCGTAGTACCTTCCTCCGCTTCGCCCTTCTTTTCTGTTTTCTCTTTTTTGTGCCTATCCTTTATAATTGCCACGATACCTTTCTTCTTTGTTTCCCCTTTTTTGTCGTTTGGCCTGTCCGTATCGTCCCACGATTCTTCATCGTTCAAGTCGACGCAGATGTCCGTGCTGTCATTGCTGTTGCATGTGACATTTTCGCGTCCCTTGGTTTTTTTCTTGTTGACAGAAATGGAATTGCTATCCGAGCTGCTTTGAGCAGAGTTATCCCTTTTGTTCAGTTCGTTTGAAGCATTATCACGAGTATTCTTTTTAGGTGAGGCCAAACTGTTCGATATTTCCCCCCTATGGCTGCTACTGGTGCGCCTTTTTTGGAAGCTCTCAAATTTTGTGTCTTTTTGAGGGGTCTTCTTCTCCTCCCTTTTCCATCTTCCCTCGTTTTTCTTACTGGTGTTCTTTAATTTCAAATTGTTGTTCATAATTTTTGAAGTATCGTCACTGTCTGTTTTTGTGGTGGTTGTTGTCCTAACTGGTGCGCTATCGTTGAGCTCGGCGCGGTTATCCCTGGGGGATGAGTTGCCCCTACCTGTTTTATTGATTCCTTCTGGTTTGCTTTCAGCATGAGAGTGGTAATCCCTCACGCTGCTCTTCGAATCCACCCCCAATGAATCGGCATTAATATCATTGTCACTACTGCGCAAAACGACTCTTTTGCTTTTTTTCACACTTTCATTAAGCTTACTTAAACTCAAGGTGCTGCTAGGCGTCGAGGTATTGTATTCGTGGGAGTGATGTAAAGATTCCTCGCGGTTAAAATTGCTACTTGTCCTGCTGATGTCATAACCCTTGTTGTATCCCAAAGAGGTGTCACTTCGTTTTATACTCTTCCCAGAGTACACATTGTCTGCGCTCGCGTGGGAGTCTCGACTTTGATACGAAAAATCTCCGACACCTCTTCGGCTTCTATTACTATAAAGTGAGTTAATTTCTTCTGGCATGTCACCATTTGAGCGGCCCATTGCATCCTCTTCGTTCCCTTCCTCGATCCCTCCTGATGAGTTACCACCCCTTTGCAAATAACCCATGTCTTTGCTCCCCCCTTTTGATTCTCTTATTCCCATTTGCTCCTTCAAAAAGGAAGACGAGGGGCTATCAGCCTGCATGTTGAACTTGTCCCCGTAGTCGCCAGTTGTACTCTTCATGATAGAGGAGCATGCACTTCTGTTACTATGATGAATGCAACTAGCATTTCCGTTTGGGGATGTTCCCTTGTGGTCCTCACAGATGCTGTACCCACTATGCAGAAAAGGCCCGCTCCCCTGGGGACTAATGTTACTTTGTTTAGAAAAATTGCCGCTGCCTCCATTATCGTAGTCTCCATAAGAATCACCATTGAGGCAGTCTACGCCATTCCCGTAACTTGATGCACCGTTGCTATTTATTTTATCCCAGAACTCCATGGATGACTTATCCATATGAAATAAATTGCCCGACCGATCTTCTGCGTTGTCTGATTCGTTGTTACTGCTGCTGAATTCTAATTTGTGCAAAAATCGTGCATCTTCATTTTGTTTGTCAAAGTCATCATCATATGAGTAACTTCTGCCCTTTTCATCGTTAGGGCGTTTTTCTAGCTCTTCGTAGATGTCTTTAAATAAAAATAGCTCTTGATCTGTTTTGTTGCTTTCATCTAGTTTGTCACTGATGCGGTAATCCGCTTGGTCCCCGGAGTGGTGGTCATATGCTTGGCCCTCGGTATGGTGATCATCTGTGTAATTTTCTGCGTCGTCTTGATCCATTTGTTCTTCTGATTGGTCTAACCTCCCTCCTGGGCCATTCCCGTGAGAGTCTCCCCTCTCATTTACTCTGCTAAATTTTGAGTCGATGTCTCCCTTCTCCTCCTTGGAAGTTTCCAATTCATTGATTAAATTGAAATCGCTCCTACTTAGCTGTGCATCCTCGATATTACTCATTTTAGTGTTATCATCTGTGCAGAAGAATATACTTTGCTTTGACTCTTCTTTACTTAATTTTTTTTTTATATTTTTTTCAAGGCTCTGTGTATATTCTAGTTCTTCGAATGTGTCGTTTGTCCAGATCTCGTCATACACATCGTAATAGTCGTCAAACTCTTCATTGCGTTTTTTCATTTTATTTTTCTCGCGCGTTTAATTGTAGATTCCATTGGTGTGTGGGGAGGGTTCAGTCACGGGAATACACACATATGCAGCTGGGAATATATGGCTACACATGTGTACAGTTTCTTTACCTGTACAACTTTCACAAGTCGGGAAAGAGGGTAAGACGTCTTACGTTGCCTTTTCTCCCTTGGCCCCCTTTTCTTCGTACTCTTAAGCCTTTTTAACAAATGTTTTAAGGGCAAGCATGTTTGATGCCTAGCAGTTTTGCAAATGTTACCTCAATAATTTATTGTTCATTCTTCAGTTCTGTTTGTGCCCTAGTTTTTTTCTCACACTCTTTTTGACTAGCTTTTTCCTCTTTTCCCTTTCGCTAGCTGTGTTTTTTTTTTTTTTTTTTTTTTTTTTTTTTAAATAGTTAACACGCCATAAAATATTCAGTCAGTAATGGTAAAGTTTTTCTGTTCCCTTTTCATGGCAGAGACAAAATTTTAAAAAGGAAGTGGGCATGAAAAATGTCTTGCACAAATAGTAGAATGCAAATTTACATATGTATGATGCTTGAAAAAGGAATTTAACCCTGTTGTGAACATTTCTGGGCCATATGTCTTTTTCCCTTTGGTCATCACTGCGGGACGGGTATTTAACAAATTTGCGATTACATATACACAATTTGGAAATACCCCTACTGTATGGAAAAAATAAAATAAATAGTAATATAAGCAAGAAAATGAGAAAAAGGAAAAATGTGCATATGTTTAAAAATGTATTGACTTTAATCACAGTGAACGCGGCGCAAAGAATTGTAAATAAAAAAATGTATGCCCTTATTTCCACATGCCCGAGAAAGCCCATGCCGCGAACATGCTACATGCAGCACAGGGGGGGTCAAAACTACATTGTTGTTACGTAAAAAAAAACATATATTTTTTTTTTTTTAGCGAATTGTTTCTGTTCCATTTTCTCGTTAACGTAAAGGCATTCCGAAAGAATGAGTAAAAATTAAATCTGTTGACAGAAAAAAAAAAAAAAAATTAGGATGCTCTCCTCTGTATATTTTTACTTTTAAAGTGGAAATTAACCTATGTTGTTGTTTCATATTATGGGAGCTTCACGTGGCGAAGAAAGAATGAACAAGAAAAAATCAGCACAGTTTTATTTTCTTTCCGCCTTTACAATGTTAAAAATATGCTACAGAGTTTTGTTGTTTTTTTGAAGCAAAGTTTGATAAAGCTAGAAGATTAACTAACCCCACCCTTGTCCCAGTTGGCAATAATTAATTCCTTTGTAAGTTCCACTTTAAATGTACTACGAGGACATTGCTGCGTGGACACATGTACTTATGTACTTTTTATGTTTATTGCCGATATCCGCAGGAAGGCATCTGCCCCTACCATAGGTACTTCCGCTTACACAAACGCATGCAAATTTGCATCTCTGCCCCTTTGTGTGTGTTTCGTAAGTAATTGTGTATTTGTGTTTGTATCCTATTTGCGTGCACGAAAAGAGCTGCCCCATTCATTGTCGTGGACTTGGTTAAGTCGGCAGAACAACGTGGGTAATGCGTTCCGCAATATACGATCACCAAGGGGGGTATATTTTTCTGTTTACGTACAACAATACAGATTTTTTTTTTTTTTTTTTTTGGCACATATTTACAATTTCCGCACTTTGGAAAAAAAAAAAAAAAAAAAAAAATGGCAATTTTCATAAAGAACAATAAAGCGTCGCTTGTCGACATGGCTGTCCAGGATTTCATCAAATTGGGTATAGATGGAGTGTACACGACAATGAAAACAGTAGTATCCTTTGAATATATTTTTAATTTCACTTCACACATGAGAAACTTACATAAGTACTCCACCAACTTCCTGGAGTTACAAATAAATGATCATAACAAAGAATGCGTCACGAACATTTTAAAAAATTTGACATTGGAAAATATTCGCAAGAGCAGCAGCGCAAGTATTAAAGCAGGATTCGAATTCTTAAATGCATTAAATGATGATATAAAAAAAAAACATTTTAGTGAAAATTCAAATTATATGGTTATGGTTACCATTACGTGGGATATACACAGTGATAACTACGCACCCTCAAATGAACCTTTTTTTTCCATTCTATGCTACATAAAATGCTTACCAAAACATAGCAGCCATGTGCAGATAGATATCATGTGTGGAGAAAGGAAGACGCCAAATATAAAATATTCAAATGTGTTTGATGTGAGAAATAAACTGCTAAAATTGAAAAGCGAAGATAGCCACGAGGTTGTTTTATATAACGAGAAGGAAGAAATTACAGAGGGATTGACTTGTAATTTTTTCTGCTTTTTTAATGATACATTGTACACAGCAAAAGACGAACTTGTTCTCAAGGGCACCATGCGAGAGCAAATAATAAACATATGCCAAGAGGAGGACATAAAATTAAAAAAAGAATCTATCAACATAAGTGACATTGGACGCTTCGAATTCTGCTTCATTTGCTCCACAACTAGGAACATTTTACCCGTTAATAAAATTATACTGTGTTCGGAAAATAAAACAGAGTTTGAAAAGGATGTCCATCACCCCGTTTTGGTGAAGTTACAAGAGAAGTTGCGAGAAGCAGTTGAAAAGAAGAAGGAAAAATATGAGGTATATGTTAGTTAGTGTAGCCCGCAGTATGCCAGAGGTATATGTGTGTGACAAGTGGATAGATTAGATGAGGCGTGCGCCCATGCTTGTTCTGTGCACATTTTTACGTATGCAGTAATTTTGTCATTTGTGAATGCAGTTTGTTTTTTTTCCTGAAAATATTCGCTGCTTCTTCATGCATATATTTGGCGTTTTCCCCCTCCCTTTGTGATGTCACGCCTATTTGTGGCAATGTTCGAAACATGGTTTCACTTTTATGAGTTAAACATTTAGTAGGCAATTGTTTTTCCGTTTGCTCGCGGTGCGCGGGTTCGCTTATGAATTTTTTTTTTATCATTCTGAGAAGCGCCTGCGTTGATTTGATTTTTGCTACACCAGTTCGCTACGATAGTGTGGGCACTGCATATTTCACTATGCTCCTTTTGCGCAGTTTGTTGGTTTTTTTTTTTTTTTTATTCGTTGGATTCACGTGCACGTGATAAAAACTTGTTTGAAGAAAAAAAAAAAAAAAAAGCAGCAAACTTAACAAACCGTATGACTTATACCCATTTTTACATTTTACTAAAATAAGCCAAGAAAATTTATGCCTTAAAAAAAGAACCTCTGGAAGGGGACATGGACAAATTCTGCGAGATGTGATTATCTATTATGACTCTTTGTGCTATAAAGCGTGTTTCTACTTTTAGCAGCTCCCAAAGGTGTGGCACAAAAAGGTTTCTCTTTTTTTAATGCTTCGCAAGTATACATAAGTTGACCTTTCACATTGACCTTTCCGAATGCTCCATTTTAACATCCCAGAAGAATCGCAACATACATGATAAGTTCTCATTTGCAAACTCGTTCTGTGTCTGTGGTATTATACGCATACGTGTGCTTATATTTCCATGTGTAAATGTAAGCAATATTTACGCTTTTTTTTTTTTTTTTTTATACACAAATTGACTGTTCGCTTAACTTGTATACAAAACGCAGAAAAATTATTTTGGCTAAATTTGCCCAATTTGAAAGATCCCAATTTGTTAAATTGACTTTGTTGATGTTTGTGAATACACTTTTTAAGTTCATCCAATTGGGATTATATATATTTTTTAGCAGGGAAACAAATTTTATGTCACATGTGTAACGGTATTTGTAAATAAATATATATAGGCATATATGTTAGTATAAATGCGTAAGTGATATGCCCTACAGCTTTCCAACAACGTACCCTCCTTTTTAATGCTTCCAAGCGCACCATTATGTACACCCGTACCTCCAATCAGGCGAAAGCAACTCCTACCCATACACCGCACATTTTATTGCCAGTTAACCTATGTCTACAATTATGATTTGCAAAAAATTGTTCAAAAGTTTTAAAAAAAATAGCTCGCTCATCGTCTTCTTCGTAACGTTAGTCTATTTTTTTTACACCTATGTGTCGTTGTTTTTGTTTGTCTTCAACAATGCCTTGTTCTATCTCTTTTTGAACATCACCCTGTTTTATCTATGCTTCCATTTTGTGGTGAGAGCCCTCACGTACCCTGGGAGTCTCTTCATATACTTCCACAAGGTAAGCCCAAAAGGCAAAACAGGAGGAAACAAAGCAGAAAAAAACAAGAATTACAAAAAAAAAAGACGCTTAAATAAGTTACACACGTGAAAACGCACTGTAAACGAGTGAACAAACTGAACGCCCCTTTTTTCATCCCTCCCCCGCCGTGCAGACAAACTACGACAACAGAGTAGAACTATGTAAGTTTTACATGAAGGAGTCGGTGAAGCTGTCACTGATTATAAGTGACATTCGAAGACACGCCAGGGACGTGATTCGGAAGGAAAATAACCCAGACGGAAATCTCAAAATTAAGCTAGAGCAGCTGTTCTCAAATAGCAATAACAAGGATAATTACTTTAACTTTTTCAGCGGCCTATATATATTTTACACACTCTACATTAGCTATTACCTCTACATCAACTTAGAAGAAAATGTCGACTTTAGTGATGAGCAGTTGCTTTTTTATTACTACTTGAAGTTATTCATGATCAAAATAAACGAACTCAAGGTGTACATTCATCAGGACGATGTGATATACCCCGAAATTCTCACAGAAATAAAAATCCACAAAGATTTTAACAAAGCAGTGCATGAGTTCATACTTGGTACAAATCCCACTTACGAGAAATTTTTCGCGCCCACAAAAGAAAGGAGAACGTATAGCAGTTTTAAGAGAACAAAATCTAAGTTGAGTATTTGGAAGCGCATATTTAACAGGAAGGGTGTGCAAGATTGTAGGGCACCGGAGGAATATGCAAAATTGTTGCCCAAAAAGGAGAATGATAATAATGCCAAAGGTAATAATGACTATAATGGCTATGATGGCAATGATGACGCTTTAACCCCGGGGGGAAATCCACCCCAGGGGGAAGGAAAACTAAAGAACGGTTCGGAGGGAATAAAAGGAGATAACATTTTTGATGAATCGGAAGAAGGAGACACTCCTTCGAAGGACATCCCCCCCAATTATATGGACATAAATGTGTTGAGTTTGTTTTACCATGAGAATTACGAAAAATCAATAACGCATGCCAACTATAAAGACTTCTTTATGATCATAAAGGGTGATAATTTCCTTAAGCTGTTAGACGACCTGACATACTTTTTGAACAAGCTTGGCGAGCTGTTCAAATTGAATGCACAAAGAGAAAGCATGGACATGAGAAATATTACGAAGTATATTAATAATTATATAAAAAAACACATAGCAGGAACAATGGATTTGTTCAAGTACGAATTGATTTTTAAATACTACGGGAAACAGGAGTACTTGCTAATTAACGGTGCCAAAATAGATTGCATGTTCATACCATGTAAGAGGTTTCTAAATGATAAAATACAATCATATATCGATTTGAAGAAGCGGGGTGAGAAAAGGATGACTGAAGGAAATGAGCATCCAACGAATGGACCCACCAGTGGACGCACCAATGGACCCACGAATGGGCATGTCTATTTAAACGCCTTCAACAACGACTTTTACAATTACATATATCAAGACGATTATTTGTGCGACATACCCGTAGTGCTTTACTTCAACCCTAACGCTGCCTACTACGAACTGAATGCTTGCTATTCTGGGTCACTGAAATTTTACTTAGAAAATAATGTTAACGTTTTCGTGTACAACTATCGTGGGTACAGCAAGTCTAGTGGTTATCCAAATTTAAATAGAAACAATGCGGATGCCTTAAAAATTGCAGAGTATCTTTTGTCCAGGAAGGTTAAACATTTAGGGTTACATGGAACATCCATTGGAGGTCCCCTATGCTCTTACGTGTCTTACCATCTGTGTAATTTTAATCAAAAAAATAATAACACGGAATATATGGACAAATTGTACAAAAATGAAATTCGCATCAAGATCACTTGCAAGCAGATAAACAAAACGGTGAAGTTGATGAGTAGGAGGAAGGATAAAATTTTGAATATCCTACTTATCCCAATTAAGTATATCATCTTGCTTCTTCAATTCATTGTGCTGTGCAAGTTGAAAATATCCAACATGAGGATTAGGAGGAAGATCAACATGAGCACGGGCGTTGCTAGCAGCAATAGGGACAATCGCGATATTGGGGATGAGGGGGGACCTGCCACCACACGCACTGATCATCCAAGGATATCCTTTGTGTGCATTGATAAGTCCTTCTACAATTTCGAGGAAGTGGCCAAGTACATGGTTGGAGAGTACGCATACAACATTCTGCAATTCACGTCATACAAATTGGACATCACAAAATATTACCTCAATTCAAATGTTCCAAAAATATTAATTTACGACAATAACGACGAGATAATTCACTACATGTCGAGTGTCGTTACAGGGGTATCCAAGGAAATTTCTAAATTATACAAAAGTGGGGACGGCAAGGAGGAAGGCAGCGTGGAAGGAAACGCAGGGGGATCCTCAACCACTGGAGAGAATAACCAAAATTTGCTACCACTGCTTGGGGGCAGTTCTGATGAAGGCGCATATATGCCGCAGACAAAGATGTATTCCGATTTGTACGCGAAGAAGAGGGCTGTACCCGAGCCCCCACTTGCTCAGAAGCAGCAGCTCCTGGGTGGAAATATTCTCGGCAGCTCGAATGAGAAGATCCCCTTTGTCCCCCAGCTAATCATAGACGAAAATGTGGACAAGTGTTGGTTTGAAAATAAAGTTAAAAACATCGACATAGTCCTATTTTTGCAGAGCTGGAAGGTGATAAATGATTGTATATTGTTTCTAAATAAATCTTCCACAACGAACAATTCCTTCATTTCGATAGGGCTAGAAACGTATAAGTCTATCATGTCCTTGTACAATTCTAAGGAGAACAATTTGGAGAAGCAAACGCATAATGCTATTTATTGCATTTATAATGACAACATGAGTTTTATGGATACCTTTAAGAAAGTGAACCATAATTACGACGATTTCGGGATGGAGGAAAGTACAGGGAAAGATAGCCATGTGAAGAAGCCAAATGTTTGTGATATCCTCCGTGAAAATGAAGACTTCAAATTCGAAATGGAAAAGCTGAACAAAATGTTAAAAGATTTGTATATGTCAAAGAGGAAGGAAGTGGAAAAGGTACATTTTACATATAGCGGATTTTTCCTCAAAAATGACTACCTCTATAATTATATTAACACGAAAAATAAGAACAAGGAGGAACCTGCTTTTAACATAGAAGAGGTAGACATCATCAACTTCCTAAGCCAATTTAGTGATTCTTTAACAGACATTGCTGATGCGATCAATTGCAATTTGAATTCTTGTGGACAATTATTAACAGAATTGAATCAAGTTGCAGAAAATGAAAAAATAAATTTTTTCAAATCATTCATTTTTAGAATGAAGGTGTATGGTTCTTACCCCTCTCAGTGTTTTATTTCATCCTGTGAGGAACAATATTGTAATTCCATCAATCAGCTTCCGCTTATTTTATCTGAGTGTTCTAACCACGGGGGGTTGTATACTCACGGAAAGGTCAGAAACTACTCCTACGATTTGAACAACACCAGGGATGACGAATTGCCCTTCGATGGAGAGTATCCTAATAGCGACTCTGAGGATGCATATTTCATGCATAGTGACTCGGAAAAGAGGATGACCAAAGTTAAAGGGGTGCGAAGCAAAGACACTTTTCAATTCAATCACAGTTTTGCAGCGGATTACAACTGTAGTATACATTCCCCCTACGTGGTGATAAAAAGGTCCATGTTTTTGCACGACTTGGTTGTATGCTTGAATTGGTTTAAGAAGGGTGCTGGGGTTGGTTGTCCTTCTTCCGGTTGCGCCCCATCATCTACCCCCGCGGGCGTTTTTTACCAACTAGACGAAGATACCTACTTAGTGAACCCCACACAGCTGCAGATCGCCCTGAAGGAGAAAAATCAGAAATGGCAAAATAAACAGAAAAACAATGCCACGCGCTTAAACAGTGCAAATTTTCTGGACCTATTTTCCAACGACATTGGAGTGGATATAAACAATGCTGACTTTTCAAATGAGCTAGAAAAGTACGTAAGCTGGATGCGCCTGAATAACAGAATTAGCTTATGCAAAATTTTGCTTTCCCTCAAAAGTAAATTGCGTCAAATGAAAAGCTATTCAGAAAGATTAATCGATGAATACAGCACTATTAACCAAGGCACGAATATTCGCTTTATCATTTTCCTAATCTATCGTATACTAATTTTTAAGAAGCTGCTAACTCACACTTATATAATTTACACATTTTGGGAACGGCTCAGCACATCTTTGGATGTGAACTTTAATGATGTTGAGGAGGGTGCAAAAGATGTTGACCTTCTAACATTGGAACCCATATCTCATTTTGATGTTTTCTACAAGGCTGCCTATAAGGTGTACTCCCCCAAGTAAGCAACTGCATACTGCAGGGGTGGCTGCTCGATGTGATCGCGGTTTGCCACTCGTTGCGCGGCGCAACGTTCACACCCATTCCAATTACACCCCATTTACACACCATTTTGTCCCCATTTGCAGAATTTTGGGATGCCCCCTGCTGGTGAACTGCGGACACAACGGCACGTTATCCAAGGAGGATCTAGCCTTTTTCAGCACCTGCTTGAATTTCTACCTCAAGGAGTATACATGAACTGCCTCAGCAAAAAAAAAAAAAAAAAAAAAAAAAAGTTGACCACGCAAAAACATCCATTTGTGAAAAAGTTATGCGAAAAAAAACAGGCGGAATATACATTATGGGAACCGAAAAGAGAGAAGAAATGCAAAAACAACTGATGTAGTTTTACGTTTCTCCCCAGAGAATCTTGGCAAAAAATTTGTTCAAAATGCTTTCCCCTGTCAGTAGTAGTAATCATTCCATTGTGGTGATATAAAAAACACGAAGGAAACTATCCCTATGGTAGATCCGATGGTAGCAAAGAGAATAGCATTTTTGTATTTATATCTTTCGCTACTGAACAATCTTTTCGTTTTGGTAACACGTGCGTGGCTGCAATCTGCGAATGGGAAAAGGGCATAGGAAGAGATTTAATTTGGCCCTAGGCAATAACGCGCCCGAGGGTGCAAGGCGCGTGTCTTTAATGTAACAAGTGTTAGGAAGCCACGTGTGTGTGTAATGGTCCGCCTTGTCCTGCGCCAACCATTCATGCCTACATCCAGTTCGTGGGCGTGTCCCCCTATTCATTCTTCATACCGTTACTTTTTAAGTCATACTCCTTATAATAAACGTAATGCTCCCTTTTGTTAATTTTATCATTTGCGTAAATGTTTTGTATTTTTATGTTGCTTAATATAGACGACTGATTTCTGTTGCCATTTTTCCTTTTCATTAATCTTCTGAATTCTCTCGCGAACGAACTTATCCTATTCATTGTTCTTCACTTTTTAAGATGAACTGAAGTTGTTTTTCCTTTTTTTTTTTTTTTT